GCCTGCCATCCCCGCTGCGGCCCAGGCCACCCACGCAGGCACAGCCGAGCTCTCAAGTGCCGGGCAGTCGGGCCTGGCCCCAGCATTACTCCCGTGGCTGCGGTCCGGTTACCTCATGAGTTTTTCATGCCAGCAGTCGGCTAGGGTTCCATTACATGGGCTGGGGCCATGCGGTGCTCACGCCGGACTGGCTCAGCTTACGGGCTGTGGCCCTGGTTTAGGGTGACGGGTTCCACATAGCCAGTGAGGAATCCCTGTAGGGACCTGGGATCCCCCAGCAGAGCGCCGTGTGGTCTCCTGAACGTTGCCTGTCTGGGCTATAGCTGGCAGAGGAAGGGAGCAGGCCCCATGCAGAGCCGAAAAGGTGAGAAAGGGGGTCTGGAAGCCCCTAGACCCTGCCAGAAGAGCCCGGGCCCCTTCAGGTCAGAAGCCTCCAATGGCCACAGGTTAAAGCCTAAAGGGGTCTCTGCCAGCCTGCTGCAGGATAGGGGGTCTCCCAGGAGATTCTTGCTCTGGCTGGGGGATTCCCTGGGGTCCTGGGACAGAGGCACCCCACTCCAGCCCATATCCCAAGTGGGGGAGCCACCCCTCCTGGCTGCAGATAGGGGCTGGAGCCATAGGTGGGACAGACTGGGGACCCTGGGCACTCTGAGAGCTCAGGACAACGAACGCAGCCGGTTCCTGTCGCGGGAGCCCCCGTGCTACTGGCCGGGTGACGGGGCAGCATGGCAGCATGTCCTATTGCTTGCCATCATTTGGACTTTTTTTAAAAAAAAAAAAACAATTATTTTTATTGTGCCTGGCGAGGCAGCCTAGTGGCTAAAGTCCTCGCCTTGCATGAACCAGGATCCCATGTTGGCGCCGGTTCTAATCCTGGTAGCTCTACTTCCCATCCAGCTTCCTGGTGGCCTGGGAAAGCAGTCAGGGAGTCCCTAAAGTCTTCAGAAACCTGGGAAAAGCCCTGGCTTCAAATCCACTCAATTCAGCTTGGCCATTGCAGCCACCTGGGCAGTGAACCAGCACACAGATCTGTCTCTTCTCTCTGTAAATCTGCCTTTCTAATAAAATAAATTAAAAAAAAAAAAAAAGGTTAAAGAGGGCCTGGCACCATGGCTAAGCAGCTAAAGTCCTCACTTTGAGCGCGCCCGGGACCAGCGCATTCCATATGGGCACCGGTTCTAATGCCAGTCACCTCACTTCCCATCCAGCTCCCTGCTTGCGGCCAGGAAAGCAGTCAAGGATGGCCCAAAGCCTTGGGACCCTGCACCCATGTGGGAGACCCGGAAGAGGCTCTGGGATCCTGTGTTCGGATCGGCTCAGCTCCAGCCATTGTGGCCGCTTAGGGAGTGAATTGTTGGATGGAAGATCTTCCTCTCTGTGCATCTGACTTTGCAATAAAAATAAATAAATGAAAAAAATAAAGAGATATAAGAGAAATAAGAATATTAAAGAATTAATGTAGAAGGTAACGCATAATTAACAGACATGTCTAAATAGAACAGGAAAAAAATATATAGAAAAGAGAAATTGTGGGAAAGAGATGAAGATGAGCTGGCAAGCATGGCCAGTGCCTGGGCAGCCTGGGCTGGCCTCTCCGCGCCACGAGACCCAGGTCAGTGAGCAGTGAGTGATCAGGACACCTGTTGGTCCCCACCCCTCCCGGGGCCAGCGGGGAGCACAGGTGTGAATGTGTGGGGGCACCGCCTTGCGTGTGCTTCAGGCGTGACCAGCTGTGCCCAGGAGCAGCAGAGGCCGAGGCCGCCAACCGCACAGCTTCTGCTCCGGGGCTGGCTGGGGTGCACGGTACAAGCAGGGCTGCACACCCCACCTTCCCCACCCGCCAGGCCAGCCGCGGTGACTCAGCGTGGCACACCCAATCTCCGCGCCACCTGGCGGCTCACCTGAGGATGGCACGGCAGCTCTCTGGGGCGCCAGCTCTCCAGCGCGGCCCCAGGCCCGGGCAGTGTGACCTGTACCCCGCCCTGAGCCCTGCAATCATGCAATTGCAAACAGGCACCCTGAGGTGGAGATGCTGTGCCAGGCAGGACCTAGCCCGGACCGAGTGGGAGGTGCCAGAAGGTGGCACAGAGCCATCTCCTTCCCTGCCTTTCCTGCAGTCCAACCTCGGAGAGCTGGATGTCTCGCCCAAACCCTGCATTCTGGAGTGGGTGGGGGTTCCCCGGCCCCTCCTACCTCCTGGCCTCCAGGAGGCGTGACCTGCATGGCTGCAGCTGGACATGGTCTGGGGTTTGGCTGGGGACTAGAGTGCCTCTACCCCGGCCGTGCTGGGTCCGGGACAGGGACACCCAACAGGAGAGGTGGGTGCTGGGGTCCAAACAGAGGGTCCCCAGGGGGCTGGCCTGTACTGGCACAGGGTGTTTCCCACGGCCTGGGGCCCTCTAGGCTGCAGCCTTGTTCAGCCAGGGCACCTACCAAGCTGACTGAGCTGGGCTGGAAACTGCCCAGTGCTGTCCCCTCTAGGACGCAGGGGTGGGCAGTGCCTGCAGGACAAGAGGATGCGGCTCTGAGGGGCCCATGGGAGAGCCAGAACCTAACCAGGGGGCTCCAGGGTCAGTCAGGGCCTGGAGCCCGGCAGCTGACTCAGCACCCCAGCTGCCCATCCCCACCTCACACACACACCCCCCAGCTGCCCATCCCTCACACACACACACACACACACCCCAGCTGCCCATCCCTCACACACACCAGCTGCCCATCACACACACACACACCCCCCAGCTGCCCATCCCTCACACACCCCAGCTGCCCATCCCTCACACACACACACACCCCAGCTGCCCATCCCTCACACACACACCCCCCAGCTGCCCATCCCTCACACACACACACACACCCCAGCTGCCCATCCCTCACACACACACACACACCCCAGCTGCCCATCCCTCACACACACACACACACACACCCCAGCTGCCCATCCCTCACACACACACACACACACACACACACACCCCAGCTGCTCATCCCTCACACACACACACACACACACACACCCCAGCTGCTCATCCCTCACACACACACACACACACACACACACACCCCAGCTGCCCATCCCTCACACACACACACACACACACACACCCCAGCTGCTCATCCCTCACACACACACACACACACACACACCCCAGCTGCTCATCCCTCACACACACACACACACACACACACACACACACACATCCCAGTTGCCCATTCTCCTGGCCCAGGTCTCCCTCACACACACTCCAACACTTTGTTTAAACGTTTATTTATCTGAAAGGCAGAACAAAAGGCAGATCCGTCCCCTGGTTCTCTCCCCAGATGGCCACACTGACAGGGCTGGCCTGCCCAGTTCCCGCCTGGGCACAGCAGCTGGCTTTCACACAGGTGCAGCTGTCGGGCAGGGGCTGAGCTCGGGGCAAGTGGCCGCCACAGCCCTGGCCCGAGGAGTGCCAGTGTCCAGACTAGTGCCCCCACGTCCTGCAGTGGTAAGGGCAGGGCTGAGGCCGAGACTGGGGGCCTGGGTGTCTGTGCCCAGTCCCCAGGACATTGGGCACTCATGCTGCGCCCTCTCCCATGCTCTGGATGCCAGTATATGTCCACTCATGCCTGCATGGCTACTCCTGCAGAGGGCGGCCGTAGCACGGGGACTCCTGCACTGGGCCTGGGCTGGCGGGTCACAGGCTGCCCACTGTGTGCAGAGCAGACCCCCAGGCGGGGCACCAGGGATGCGGACAGGGCGTCCGCCCACCCAGGGCCTTGGGGGGCTGTAGCCCCGCACCGGCGCACCCCCGGTTCCTGTGGGGAAAACCGCATCTCCCAGCGGCCCGAGGTAGAGCGACCCCGCCCCTCTCGGGGGTCCCGATATCTGGTGGGACCGCAGCCCGGGGCGCACGCAGAGCCGGTGGCGCTGGTCCAGGTTTTGGGGTGACCCTGGCTGTAGGGAGCAGAGGCCTCGCGGCCACCGCAGCGCTCTGAGCAGACGGCCAGGGCAGCGCCCAGCCGGTTTCCGTCCTTGCGCGGGGAGGCAGCCGCACCCCGACTCCGGCCCGCCCCCCATCCTCGCCCCGGACGCCCCGTGTCACCGTCTCCTTGGTGCAGGCCGGCCCCGGAGTGACCTTGGGCGAGGTTTAGCTGCCCAGCTGCAAATCAGGAAAAGAAAAAAAAAAAGAAATCCCGGCGCGGGACACGGCGCCCCGCACCCCTACCTGCAGGCGGCGCGCCCCGGACCCCGCCGCCCCTCGGTGCGCAGGCCAATCCGCGGCCTCCTTGACTAAATAAGGCGCGGCGCGCGGCCCGAGCCCGTCCGTTACTTCCGCCCCTCGGCCGTGACTCAGGCCCGGGCTTCCCGGCGGCGGCGCCGAGATGGCCAAATAAGGCCGCGGCTGGCGGGCGCACACCTGGCCGCACCTTGCCCCGTGCGCCCCGTGTCCGCGCGCACCGGGCGGTCACCCCAGGGCGGTCACTCCACGGGCGGGTCACCCCAGGGCGGGCAGCCCAGGGCGGGCAGCCCCGACCCCTGCCCCCTCGCCCAGCAGGCCGGGCAGTTGCAGCCAGGCCGCCCCCCGCCCTCCCGGGAGCCCCGAGGGGTGCCGGGGGGTCCCCCTGTTCCGTGCCCGCTCTCCGCGGCTGGAGGACGGAGATGCCCGCTCCCCAGAGCCAGGCCCGCCACGCCCTCGGCCCCCAGGATGGAACAAAGCCCGGGGCGCGGGGGGCGCGGGGTCCCGGGGGCGTCCTGGGCGCGGGGGGCGTCCTGGGCGCGGGGGGCGCGGGGCCCGGGGCGCGGGCGGGGCGGTTGGCGGCGGCGCGGGCGGGGGGCGGGCCGGGCCGGGGCCCCACGTGTCCCGGCGGCGCAGGCCAATGGGAGCGCGGCGTTCGGAAAGATCGCCATATATGGGCACGTTCTGCGGCCGCGCGCGCCCCCGCCCGCGCGCGCGCCGCGCTCCCGCTTAAATAGCGGCGGGGGAGGCCGCGCTCGGTCTCACTCTCCGCCGTCCGTCCGAGCTCCGCGTCCGCCCGTCGCTCCGCCGCCCCGCTCCGCTGCCGGTGAGCGGCGGGCCCGGCACAAAGGGCGGCTGGGTGGGGCGGGGCCGGGGCCGGGGCCGGGGTCGGGGCCGGGACGGGGGTCCGGGGTCGGGGGTCGGGCTGAGCCGTGCCCGTGCGCGCAGGTCGCCATGGAGGAGGAGATCGCCGCGCTGGTCATCGACAACGGCTCCGGCATGTGCAAAGCCGGCTTCGCGGGCGACGACGCCCCCCGCGCCGTGTTCCCGTCCATCGTGGGGCGCCCGCGGCACCAGGTGAGGGCAGGGCGCTGGACCCCGATGGGCAGGGCCCAGGGTGGCCGAGGACGGCCCAGGACCCCGCTGGGCGGGGCGCAGGGCGGGGCGGGGCGCAGGCAGGGCCCAGGGTGGTCTAAGGCAGCGCACAGGGCTGGCAGGACCCCGCTGGGCAGGGCGGGCAGGACCCAGAGCCCCTGGCCGGGCTCACCGCACCGCCTTCCCGCAGGGCGTCATGGTGGGCATGGGCCAGAAGGACTCGTACGTGGGCGACGAGGCGCAGAGCAAGCGCGGCATCCTGACCCTCAAGTACCCCATCGAGCACGGCATCGTGACCAACTGGGACGACATGGAGAAGATCTGGCACCACACCTTCTACAACGAGCTGCGCGTGGCCCCCGAGGAGCACCCCGTGCTGCTGACCGAGGCCCCCCTCAACCCCAAGGCCAACCGCGAGAAGATGACCCAGGTGAGGCGGCCGCCGCCGGGCCTGCCCGCGCCCCGTGCCCGGGCCGCCGGCCCTCAAGTGTCTCTCTCGCTGTTCCAGGCCTCTGTTCCTCTCGCGGCATTTCCTCCCTGAAGCCTGCAGGTTCTGTTTGCGGGTCTGCCTGTGTGCTGTTCTCCTCCTCATCACGGAGCATGCGCATGCGGGGCGGGCGGGCGCCCTCGCCCCCCGCCCGGCTGACCCCCTGCCCCTCCCGCAGATCATGTTCGAGACCTTCAACACGCCGGCCATGTACGTGGCCATCCAGGCCGTGCTGTCTCTGTACGCCTCCGGCCGCACCACGGGTATCGTGATGGACTCCGGCGACGGCGTCACCCACACGGTGCCCATCTATGAGGGCTACGCCCTCCCCCACGCCATCCTGCGTCTGGACCTGGCCGGCCGGGACCTGACCGACTACCTCATGAAGATCCTCACGGAGCGCGGCTACAGCTTCACCACCACGGCCGAGCGCGAGATCGTGCGTGACATCAAGGAGAAGCTGTGCTACGTCGCCCTGGACTTCGAGCAGGAGATGGCCACGGCCGCGTCCTCCTCCTCGCTGGAGAAGAGCTACGAGCTGCCCGACGGCCAGGTCATCACCATCGGCAACGAGCGCTTCCGCTGCCCCGAGGCGCTCTTCCAGCCCTCCTTCTTGGGTGAGTAGTGCCCCGTGCCCGGTGCCCCAGACCCCCGTGTCCGGGCCGGGGCGCTCAGTCTGGCCTCTGCTCCCCAGGCATGGAGTCCTGTGGCATCCACGAGACGACCTTCAACTCCATCATGAAGTGCGACGTGGACATCCGTAAGGACCTGTACGCCAACACCGTGCTGTCCGGTGGCACCACCATGTACCCGGGCATCGCTGACCGCATGCAGAAGGAGATCACCGCCCTGGCGCCCAGCACCATGAAGATCAAGGTGAGTGGGCGGGGGAGCCTGCGGTGGGGGTGCCCTGGCGGCCGGCGGGCCTCGCCAACCACGCCAACCTCGCCAACCTCGCCAACCACGCCCTCCCTCCTTCCTGGCAGATCATCGCTCCCCCTGAGCGCAAGTACTCGGTGTGGATCGGCGGCTCCATCCTGGCCTCGCTGTCCACCTTCCAGCAGATGTGGATCAGCAAGCAGGAGTATGACGAGTCCGGCCCCTCCATCGTGCACCGCAAGTGCTTCTAGGCGGACTGCGCAGGTGCCAGGCCCTGCCGCGTGAGCTGGCCCCGCACACCGCAGCTCATGCTGGCCTCGCGAAACTGGAATACGCCTCTGAAAAGAATTGTCCTTGAAGCTTGTATCTGGTGTCGGCCCAGCTGTGGAGCTGGCTGCCGGCTTGACCTTGTGTTGAAGCTCACTGTCCCTGGTGTCCAGTGCCCTGTACGCCCCTTTGATTTCAGTCGAGGCTGTGGCGGTGGCCTGGCCCGTGCGGGGTGCTGCGTGGCCGGCCGGGGTCTTGCTGGTCTTGACAGTTGGGGGTCCGAGGCTCGGGACCCGGTTCTTTCCGACCTGGTTTTCCTGCTGGAACACCGGGGGCTGCCTGCCTGGAGTTGGAAACGGTTTGCATCCGCACCTGTAAATGTATTCATCTTTTAATTTATGTAAGGTTTTGTACACAATTCTCGATTCTCTAAGAGATGACAACAAATCTTGGTTTTCTACTGTTATGTGAGAACATTAGGCCCCAGCAACACTCGTGTACGGAAAAATAAAAGTACTGCAGTACCGCACTGGCTTTGTGTGCTGGGACGGGGTGGGGGGGCAGGGTGCTATCTGCCAGCTGGGTGCCCCTGCCAGGGCTGTGGGCAGGTGGCCTGGTCACACCCCCACCTCCAAGCTTCCTGAGTGAGGTTGGGATGAACAGGGGCACTGTTGCCCAGATGGGGGCCCAGTGGGAGACCCCTGGGACTCCTTTGCTCCACCCGTGGCCCTTCCCGGTAATAGGGCAGGACCTGGAGTGTGAGTGAGCATGCCTGCTGTGGAACCTGCTCCTTCAGGGAGCCAGCTGGCGGGGCGGCAGAGGTGGGGTGAGCAGTTCCTGCAATGACAACAAACCATCTTGTGTTTCCGAAATGGGTTGATTCAAGGCAAGGACAGTTTTATGCTGGGTCCCCAGACAGCTGCAAGGGCAGGGCCAGGCTGAAGCTGGGGGCATGCCAAGGGCTTATCCAGCAGCCCAGAGGTGCCAGGCAGGCGTCCATGGCAGCCTGGCACTGGTCGGGATAATGTGCTGATTTGCGGGAACAGAGGTCACTCCCACAGGCTCTTGCCGAGCTGGCCAGCCACAGCAGCACGTCCAGGGCTTAGAGGAAGCTGGTGTCAGAGGGGGTCCGGGCCCTGCACCCACCACCCTGAGGTGCTGTGCCCACTGTCATGTACACCCACTCTGGGACCTGCCTGGTGTGGCTGTCGATGGCAGCTGCTGCTCCTACAGCCACAGCAAGAACCCTCCCGGGGCAACATGGAGGACAGGCACGCAGGGAGGACAAGGCAAGAGGGGTCCAGTGCGTGGCAAGGCCGGGAGAGCCGCCTGCCACCCTGGCATCCCAGGTGGGCACCAGCTGCTTCAATTAAGATCTGGGAAAGCAGCAGAGGCTGGCCCAAGAGCTGGGCCCTGCACCCAAGAGGAAGACCAAGAGAGAGGCACAGGATGGGTGGGGGCAGGACTGGGACCCAAGGCCACGGCCTCTTCCCACAGCAGCCCTTGTGAGGGCCTGGGGGACCGGGGGCCGTCAACCCCGCCTCACCGGCCAGCGCCCGTCCTGGCGGAGGACAGGGCCCTCCCACTGTCCCTCTTTAGGGGCTTTTTGTTTTTAATCTATATATTTATTTTTCGGGCCTGGCATGAAAAATAAATATATAGCCTAGTAGCCTAGTGGCTTATCTGTGCCTTTCACACACTGGGATGCCATATGGCCGCTGGTTCTAATCCCAGTGGCCCCGCTTCCCATCCAGTTCCCTGCCTGTGGCCTGGGAAAGCAGTCAAGGATGGCACAAAGCTTTGGGACCCTGTACCTTCATGGGAGACCCAGAAGAGCTCCAGGCTTCTGGCTTTGGATCAGCGCAGCTCTGGCCATTGAGGCCACTTGGGGAATGAATCATCAGATGGAGAGAAGGAAAGACAATAAGGGCCCAACGCGGTGGCCCAGTGGCTAAATCCTCGCCTTGTACATGGGATCCCGTATGTGCGGAAGAAGCTCCTGGCTGCTGACTTCGGACCAGCTCAGCTCTGGCCACTGCGGCCGCCTGGGAAGTGAACCAGCGGCCGGGCGATCTTTGTCTCCTTCTCTGTGTAATTCTGCCTTTCCAACAAAGTAAATAAATACATTTAATCATTTTTTTAAAGCAGAGGGCCATGGTGTGGCTGTTAGTCCTCACCCACACCCTCCTCGGTGGCCCAGGGTGGTGGCCCAGCCTCCCGGGGTCTGCGCGGGACCTCAGGCCTCCCGTCCAGCGTCCCTCTGCCCACCGCTCCCTGTGCACCCTGCCTGGCAGCCCCGGCTCAGCGGATATAACAAAGCGCTCCTGCCACTGCCTGCCAAGCCCAGGTCCGCAGCCAGACGGGTTAGAGTTGCGTCATTGCCTCCTGAGCGCCGGTTCTGGTCCGGGCTGCTCCACTTCCCATCTGGCTCCCTGCTTATGGCCTGGGAGAGCCTTGACCCTGGCTATTGAATGCACCTGGGGGAGTGAACCAGTGGAAGGAGGAGCTTTTTCTCCTGTCTCCTCTCTGTGAATCTACCTTTCAAATAAGAATAAATCATGTGGGGCCCGGCAGCATGGCCTAGTGGCTAAGGCCCTCGCCTTGAATACAGCCAGGATCCCATAGGGGCGCCGGTTCTAATCCCGGCAGCTCCACTTCCCATCCAGCTCCCTGCTTGTGGCCTGGGAAAGCAGTCAAGGACGGCCCAGAGCCTTGGGACCCTGCACCTGTGTGGGAAACCTGGAGGAAGCTCCTGGCTCCTGGCTTCAGATTGGCACAGCACTGGCTGTTGCGCTCACTTGGGGAGTGAATCATCGGACAGATCTTCCCCTCTATCTCTCCTCCTCTTGGTATATCTGACTTTGTAATAAAATAAATCTTTTTAAAAAATAAGAATAAATTATTTAATTTGAATGCGTCCCTAAGTGGCCATGCGGGAAGGCATTGGAGAATGGGCTGGGTGGAGCCCCCGCCTGCCCATGGAAACTGCCCCTTCCTGGGGCCCCAGAGGGCGGGGACAGGCCTATTCTGCCCCCTGTAGGTCAGCAATGGTGGCCTGGGCACAGCTGGACTGAATAAGGAGCTGCCAGCTGCAACTCCTAATAACACAGGGGTCTCCAGGCAGGGTGGGTGACCAGCCAACTCAGTCCACCTGGTCCAGTTGCTGCCTTCCTGAGGACCAGTGCTGACACAGGCAAAGCTGATTGGTGAGCCACACGGTGCCGGCCGAAGGCCAGGGCTGAGGGGAAGTCACGGGTGGGCCCTGTGGCCATCACCATGGAGGCTGCCCACGGAGCCCTGCCCGCAGCCTGCCCTGTCCCTCGGGGTAGTGCCCGCCCTGTCCCTCCCTCAGGGCAGGGCCGACCCTGTCCCTCGGGGGCAGTGGGAGGAGGGTGGAACCCGAGATGCAGCTGCAAACACCATTTGTGTCCTGACTGGACAGACCAACTAGGCTTGCTTGCTTGAGAGGTAGTTATTTATACAAGGCAGCCAACATGGAGTGTGGGACTGCAGTGGTCCAGTCCACACTGCCTTTTGATTGCTTGCTTTTTTGGCTGTATCCCATGTGTTTTGCTGTTTTTATTTCAGTTTGGTTCCTTCCAAATAATCTCTTTTCTCTTGTTGAATTCACCGCGTGCTCATGGATGACACGGTGGCATCGTTTTTCCCAAGAGACTTCTGTGTTTCCTTTTTGTCACGTGTTGGTTACTCAGTGGCGCGTTATTTTTTTCAAGGTGCTGTAATTTGTTGTTGAGGCTGTTGTTCTAACTCATACCGGCTGTTGACCTCATTTCATGGCTTCTCACTTAGGGTAATGTAGAGTGATGGAGTACTGGGGTCTGTCATGTGCAGACGTGGGGGTGCAATGGAACATGCATCCCTGCATCCAGACGAAAGATGGACTCCCAGTGAAACTGTGGGACACGTTCAGACAACGGGATGCTGTGACATTGTACCACAAGGTCGGGGTACACTTACATAACAGACTGCTAGAATTATGATTGCTTATGAATGTCTACACTGTTGTAACAAAATGGGAGAAATCTGACGAGGTGGGAGTTTGGGGGGAATCCCAGCCTATACAAAAATGTACCCCACAATTCAGAATTCAAAATAAAAATATTAAAAAAAGGAAGTTAGAGAACTTCCACCTGTTCGTCCATTCCCCAGATGGCCACAACGGCCCTGCTGGTCTTGAGCACACTGCCCATGCCAGTGTCTGCACAGTTCACTCCAGGCCATTCTGAGACAAGCTGGCGGGACTGCTGACAGAGAGGGGGTGCCCTGGGCCCACCCTTGCTTTCCATCCTGGGGGAGTGGCTGTCCTCAGCCCCTAGCCACAGGCCCCTGGCAGACGGAAGCGGCTGCACTGACCGCTGGGGTGTCTGGACACCACTCAGCTCTACAGCCCCTGGGGGAGACCCTCAGAGCTTAGGGGACAGAACTCACGGCGGGGGGTGGAGAGCCCGGGACCCTCCAGGGCAAGCGCATGGCTTGGTCAGTGGTCAGCCGGGGATTTCAGGGCTTGATTGCGGCCCCAGAGACTAGGAAGGCCAATGGGACAGACCCCAGAGGACAGCAGGGCCACGTGGGGACCAGGCTCAGGTCCCCAGGGCCCCCCTCCTTTGCACAACCTCGTGCTCCGAGAAGAGGAGAGACTTGGCCAAACAAGGGGCCTTCCTGCGGCTGTGACCTTCTCCTCCCGCCAAAGCCGCGTCCAGCTCGGTGGGCACGGCCTGCACCAGCCTCGGGCCCAGTACGCCGCGGGACCCCGCACTCACCGTCGGGGAGCAGCGCCAGCCGCCCCGCCAGGGCTGGCAGCCGGAGCCCTAACCCGGGCCAAAGGCGCGAGCTTCCTGCCAACCCAGGTGTCCTCCTGGCCAGCACAGGTGCAGGTGCACGACCCGCCCCTCAGCGGGCTCCGCCCCTTCCCCGCCCCTCTGCTGAGCCCGCCCCTTACCGACCCTCAGCCCCGCCCCTCTGCTGGCTCCACCCCTCGCCACCTGCGGCCCCGCCCTCTCGCAGAGCCCCGCCCTTTGCGTAGAGTTCCGCCCACTTCCCGCCTCTCGACTGGCCCCGCCCCTTGCGCATAGCCCCGCCCTTCCGCCCTCGGCCCCGCCCCTCTCCCTGCAGGTCCCCTCAGGCCTGGGACCCTCGCCTGCTCCCGGGGCGGCAGTGACCCGGAAGGGCTCCCGGGCTGGTGACCCTCCCGCCGGCGCACGAGCGCCCTCGTTCGGTAGGGAGCCCGGAGGACGCAGCTCCCCGACCTGGTCCTGCTCGCGGCAGGAAAACCCCCTGCTGAAGCAAGACTGCCAGCCAGGAGGAGTCACACTAAGCGATGAACTCCGCCCTGCTGCCTTCTGAACTGCCACCCCCTCCCTGCCACCCCCTCCCTCCCTCCCTGCCACCCCCTCCCTGCCACCCCCTCCCTCCCTGCCACCCCCTCCCTCCCTGCCACCCCCTCCCTCCCTGCCACCCCCTCCCTGCCACCCCCTGCCACTCCCTCCCTCCCTGCCACCTTCCCCCTCC